GCAAGCCTTTCTGCGTTGTGGCGCCTCGCGCTGTTGTAGCTGCCTGTTGAGAGAGTTGATGGCGCGCTGTGAGGCCTCTGGAGTGGGCAGCCTGCACTGAGCTTAGGGGACAGCTCTGAGCCACTTCGTCATTGCCAAGGTGGAATGCTCACCTTGGTGTGCTCGTGCACAAAGTGGAGCAGAAACGAGTCACCTCTTGTTTGTCAGCGTCAACTGTGAGTTTGAAAGATGTCTGTCCGTCTTCGGTAAAACACGTTATTTGCCTGCGTCGCGAGGAACATCAGGAGGTACGAAAGCTCTGAAGGGAGGTGCTGCTATTGCAGCTCTTCAGATGAGCAGAGGCTGGTATCCGAGCACCTTCCCGTAGTCTTTCTGAAATGGAAACGGTGCCCTTCCTCACTAGGGACACTGCATTGAACGTTCACCTCTTTCAACGGGTTTATTCCTCTCTTTCTACGCATCTACACAGGGAGTCACGGAGGAAAACGCCTGTGGCCGTTTCTTTGAAGGAGAATGAGCGTCTCTTCGGTGATAGCGCGCTCGGAATGGTAAGAGATTTCGTCGCTCGCTGTGCCCACTGCGGTTCCTGTGTGCCCAGTCTGTGTTCCTGCTGCTGTGTTCCTGCTGGGTCCTTCGTGATAAACGTCTGAGCCAGGAAGTTTTATTTCTTGTCCTGTAATTCTCATCTCCTTGGTGTGTTATGGGCTTTCTGTACTGGCTCTTTGTGTACCGGTCTCGTGCTCCTAATTCCCGTAAGGAGAGCTGTTCACCACACAGCTCGGGGAGATTGGTTTGACAACAGCAAAGCTGAAGAAATGCAGCTGGGTGATGTGCTTTTTTTCTTTTTGCAGTCCATAAGGACCCCTAAGGTGGCATTCAGATACTTCCAGGATCTGCTGGGTAAGCGTATTGATAACCCCCACGTGGCGCTGTACCGGTCCCGATTCCCAGAGCATGAACTGGTGAAGGATGAGAAAAGGCAGACCGTTATCTTCAAGCTGTCCCAGTAAGTGGCTGCTTCTGGGTTCCTTGCGGACGGGACTTTGGCCTCCAGGCTTCTACAGCTGACTCTGTTGCCGTAACTTTCTCTCCTGTCTGTTTCTTGTAGGACGATACAGTACTCTCCAGAGGAGATGCTGGGGATGGTCCTGAACTATTCACGTGGTCTGGCTGAAGAATTTGCAGGTTAGAAGGGTTTAGCCGTTTCTTACAGTATCTGTGCACGTGCTTGTGTGTAGTAGAGGATTTGGGTAGAGACCAAAGGTGTTTGAAAATCCACGGATTTTTAGAAACAGGCTGTTAGGACTCTTCAGCTGTTGGCTGCGAGCAAGACTTAGCAGCTATCGAGTCATCGTTTGTTTCTAATATGATGCGAGTTTGGGGTCTTAATCTGATTCTTGGGGGCAGGCACCCCAGATCGCGCCCAGTCTTGCAGTGAAGGAGCCTTACTGGCAATCTCTGGAGGAGGAGTGAAGTGGTTTCTCGCTCATGTGTGTGAGTCTTGGGCGGAGGTACGTTGGCAGGTAACTGCAGGGGAAGATGGAAGTGGCTCTGTTGAAGTCTGTGTTGTAGCTGGCCTGGATGGAGACTTGTTGCTGGAAGTGAACTACAATTAAAGGGCAAAACCTGCCCTCTGTTGTGAAACTTGCTGAGGGATATGAGACTCGCATGCGTTTTCTGTGCTGCGTTGCTAGTGAAATACCACAGTAATGAAGACTGGGTGAATTTTGTTGATGTTTGACTTGCATGCTCACTAGGAGGCTGTGTGCTGTTTGGTTAGCAACGCTAAAGCCAGTCCAGGGACTTGTTGCTCTGGCGAGTGAGCATAATTCAGTAATGCAGTAAGTCTCGTGAAGATAACGTTTGTTGAAACCTAAGGCGCCCTAGAGCATTTGAGAGTACCCCAACAGGTAAAAGAGAGGCCAGTAGGCAAAAAAACGTTCATTCCCCACCGTCCCTGCCTGCCGATGCCACTTCAGGATTGCGTTCCATACAAGTCTTTTACCTTGGATTCTCTGGCTTGGCTGCCATCACCCTGTTATAACAAGTCTTTGCACATGGCTGCACTGACGGAAAAACATGTTCCCTGCAACTCTTTCAGAGCAGCCCATCAAGGACGCAGTGATCACAGTTCCTGCCTACTTCAACCAGGCAGAGAGGAGAGCAGTTCTGCACGCCGCTCGCATGGCCGACCTGAAGGTGCTGCAGCTGATCAACGACAACACTGCTGTAGCCTTGAACTATGGCGTTTTTAGGAGGAAAGACATCAATGCCACTGCGCAGGTAGGTGCAGGTGGGAGATGCAGAGAGTCCCGTGCAGGGGCCTGCATGGGGGGAGAAAGTGCTGCAGGTAAAATTAAAAGGTGTAACTGTGAGGAAGTGGCCTCTGCTAGTCAACCAGTCTCCTCTGTTTTCCTGTGGTCTTCAACAAGAGGAAGAGATGAAACCACCCTGTATGAATACGTGGTGAAGTGTGAAAGCTGCTGGAGCGAGGGCAGGTGGCTGGGAGTTCCCGTTTCGTAAATGTGTGCTTGTTCCTTGCCCGTCAACCAGGCTGGGGGGAGGGAAATCACTCAGCGGTTTTCTAAGATATTGGAAGACCGACTCTGAAATACCTTATTTTCCTGAGCTTGACGAAACTTCTAAAGAGCAAAGCATTGTTTTCTGGTCTACAAAATGGATGAAAAAAGTTTCCTTGTCCGCTTGTGTCGGGAGTGACCCCAAACACCTCCTGTGCTTGCTCAAAGTACGAGTCCTGTCATTCTGGTGTAAAGCCCGGCTAGGGAGCAGATAGTCTTGGCCTGTATCGAGCTCAGACAGCAGTGGGTTCTTTCCTTATTCGTGGGGGATTATCCAGGTGTTTCTGCTTCACCGTCCCAGCTTCTCTTTTCAGAATATCATGTTTTACGACATGGGAGCAGGAAGCACCGTTTGTACTATTGTTACCTATCAGACAGTGAAAACTAAGGACTCGGGAACCCAACCTCAGTTGCAGATCCAGGGCATTGGGTAAGAATTCAACACGAGTTGCACGAAACCCACAGGTCTCAGGAAAGAAACCATTTCTTTCGGTCTCTTCTAAATGTGGAATTTTGCAGTGAGGCTTCAGCACAGTAATTTGGATGGCAGAGTGGGAAACATCTGGAGCGAGAAGGCTCCCGTTGGTAATAATTCTGGTGTCGCTGTCCTGTGCAGAAGGTAACTGCAAACATCCAGGAGCCCAGGAGGCAAACCAGTGTACTTGATTTGCTTCAGGCTTGTTTTTTTTATAGTCTCAAGCCATTTTAGTGTACTTCTATTTCCTATAATCATACAGATGTAGAGCGTGTCAGTTGGAAAAAGCAGAATATCCTTCTAGGGAGGAATGAAAATGCAGTGCATTTGCCAAATAAGAAGGGGAGTGCCGTGAATCGCCAGCCCAGCAACTTTATCTCCAAAACGTTTATGCTGCAGTTTCCTAGAAAATACCTGGGACCTGGGACAGTTACCCTTTGGCTTCTCAGCTGTGTGACAGGCTTGGCAATGAGGCCTTTACCATAAATATAATGAGGCTTCCTGCTCAAAGGCTGTTGTGGTGATCTTTCCTTTCTTTCGTTATAATGTGTTATTTTTGGAACAACCGCTGTTCTCTCGCAGTCAATCACAGCTGATAGTACTGTGGCTGCTTTTGACCGCTTGCCGCTCTGCCTATTTGTGAAATAATACGTGAAGTTTGTTTCTACTTCAGCTCGGTGTAAGCTGTTGCATCTCCATTCGTCTTGCTGCTCAGGTTTGACCGTACCCTCGGAGGTTTGGAGATGGAGCTGCGTCTCCGGGACTATTTGGCGAAACTCTTTAATGACCAGCACCCTTCAAAAGACGTCCGAAAGAATCCCCGGGCCATGGCCAAACTGCTGAAGGAGGCCAACCGCCTGAAAACCGTCCTGAGCGCGAATGCTGACCACATGGCGCAGGTCTGACCTTCCATCACAGGCTTTCCAGCTTTTTTAGGGCTGAGGGTGGGGTGGGTTAAAGACCGGTGTGTAGGGACGCTGTTCCTGTGTGGTGCCGGCGTGCTGAAGAGCATCGCTCCTGGTGTTCCAGGAGCGGTGGCAGCACTGGTGGTTCCTCTCAGCTTGTGTCCACTTAGTACCGCTGGTGACCAAATGAGCGGGGTGGATGAGAGTTAGTCCTGCGCAGTTTGGCAAGCAAACTTTCACTGGGGGAAGCTGTCTGTTGCATCCATGTTCTGTCCTCTCCTCA